GCAATTTGTTTCGTATATGAAAAATTTCGTTTCTGTTGTAAGATTCATTGTATACCCTAACGATTTAAGTTTTAATGAAACCCAGGACTATGGGACACTCTGTGTTCGCACATGTAATATTCGTTCTTCTTTGCTCGAGAGAAGCCTCGAGTTTCGAACGTATATAGTCGCGCGTTTGATGACGTTTGAATGCAAGTTTAATGTAGAATTCGCTAAGAGAGCGAGCGCGCCGGTCATTCGCGGCGGTTGCAAGCCATTGAAAATCAGTCACCTCATTCAGTCGGGAACATCGTGACGAAACTCGAGGAAAATCAATAGAGCCGGCCGGCTCTGACGAAACACAACGCCGACTGTGCGATGCCAGTTCGCGGTAGTATCGTGCGCATGGATAGGTACAACATAAATAAAAACGATTTTTTATGCATGTTATTGATATCGATAGTTTTGGAGGGATTTTGAAATAAGTGTATATGCGCCCCGAGGAAGAGAGAGAAAGAGAGAGTGGTGATTTGTTTCTCGCGCGATTCTGTATTAAAATTAAAACATAATTTTATAGCCGACTATTCAACGCGGTGACAAGCAATGCTAAATTAAACTTCAAATTATACAAAGAAAAATCAATAATCTTTTACCAATGTTATTTGCATCTAACGATGCACAATGGTATAAATATAAGCAAAAGAACCGTCTGTCAAAGTTTAAACATTCAGTCAAAATAAAAAATATTTATATATAGTACTGAAAGGAAAGAACGAGAAATCAATGAAAATGAGAAATAAATGGAAGAAAATTTGTACATAATTGAAATCTAAGTTTACTCCAGAGTATTTTAATTATAAATTAGAGACTTTATATATTATTTATGCAGCAACTCTTGTCACATTCCTTGAACAGCAAATTGCTTTACGTTTAACGAGTGAAAATGATTATTGATGGACGATTCTTCCGCTTCGTATAAAGTAGACAAATTAAATAATTAAAAGTTTAATTTTTATCACTTAATCCTTTTGTCTGTCATGATTTGATCCGCGTACGCGACCACTTTTAAGCCGATTTCCGTGGACATAAATCCTTTTAATTAAAAGTCTCATTAGTAATTGAAAATATTAATTGAAAGTCCTATTAGCACAGTGTAAGTGTAGGGTAATACTAAATCGATATATTGACAGGAAAATAAACTTTTATTCGACATATATAATTCTCGAATTATTTATTAATCTTAATAGATTTACTTTTATAGATAGGTATCTAATTTTAGTTTCTCTAATTTTGTAATATCTTTCATATTGACTTTAATAATATATTTTAATTAATCATATTATGCTTGACAGTAATCAAATTTATTGAAAACTCGATAGTATATTTTTAAATATGAAGATATCTAATATATATGTAATTGCGTGTGAAACGATTAAAAATTTTATTTTCGCACCATTTAATTTAATAAAAGATATTTTGTTAAAATTTAACAAGAAATAATTAATAATATTCTGCATCAAGAGATTGTTGACATAAATGCGTTTTCATTAGAATTTCGCGCAGTCTTGATCCGTCGTATCAAGAACTGTTTTAAAGACACCGAATGTAACAAACTTTCGAGTTTGCATTTGCCAGGGAATAGCGAAGAATATCTGAAGTTGTAATTTATAGCGCGAAACGCAATCGCTTTATTTCGGCTTGACTAAATTTACCGCTTTCCCAACTCCCCTCTAGACAGTTATGTTTACGCGTGGTGGAACTTACAAAACTTGACTTGAATTAACTAGTTAACAAGTAAATTATGCACACGACATCTAGCTACCAACTTTACGAATCGGACTTGACTTATAGTTTTTCATATCAAAGTACAAAGTAATCCGTGGAATTTATCGCAAATTAGACGCAAAGCTGCTACTCGTTATGAGAGATATCTAATTAATTTTCTACTGTAATCTCTGCCAGTATATATTATATAATTGAATTCATGAGATAACAAGTTGCATTTCTACATTAACCCTGAAGCAAGTAGATAGAAAGGTTTTTTATTCTGGAAAAAATAGCCCGTACAATTTCATGTTTTATTGAAAAAGATTGAGGTACATTTTATTATTATTATACTTTCCTTTCATTCGAAATATTAAAAATTTGAAAAATAAATTCTGAATAAAATTTTTATATAAAAAATGATGAGAAATGTGTGAAGAAAATAATTTTTTTTTAACTATTACAAAAGATTTACCGCGATTTCATGTTAATCAACATATCACGTATTCTACGCACGTATATAATCGTAAAAATGCGATATATTTTGCAAATTTATTTATTTAATTACTATAGTTATATGTATGTTTTGTAACATAGGGAGTAGTATAAATCATCAACAATTTTGCAATTGCCGGTAGCAGCACGCGACGAATTATTACTGGTACGCAGCAATGTCTGTAAAAAACTCTCTTTGATATTTTCATGTTACATATTTTTTTAATAAACAAATTTTAAAGAATTTTCTCAAAAATGTTTGTAGAAAGGAAATTGTATATCCACGTATGATTATATATGTATAAATAATTATAAAAAAGCAATAAGTATGAAAGTTTAAAATCAAATATGAGAGTCCAAATGAATTAATTATTGATTGTTATTTTATATAATTTGCATTTTACTTTAAACTTATCTTAACTAATGTTAATATAGTATTATGCATATAGATTGTTTAAATAAAATAAATATATTAAATTTATAGATTTTAAACATGAGAAAAGTAATATAGAAATTTTCTGAAATATATAAATCTCTGGTAAAACAATTATTTTGAAATCTTTTCAAGTATTATTTCAATGCGTGTATAATATAAATTCAGATTGTAACAATCGAGATATCTATAATCCAACATCTGTTGTTTCTTTAATGCGAAATCATTCACGTCTAGATAAAATAACAATTGTATTTTCAAACAATACTTCAGACAAACAACAATAAATGACTCCCGTTTCTGTATTTTATTCATACATCGCATTGTTATTGCTTATTAGCATGTCGCGTAAAAGGAGTTTTTCCATTTCCATCGTATGTAATTTTTCAATAAATAAACATATATACATATATGTGTGTATATATGAACATATACAATACATGTACATATATACCTATATATGTTTAATCAGTAATTGTTAATTTCATTAAACATTAATATAACTACATTAAAAATCCAACGAGTTTGCGACCAAATATTACTGTTTATATGGCGAACAACGAAACACGTCGGTTGTTCCGAATTATTAAACTTTAAAGAACTAATTGTATTCATGTTATATATCTAATGAAAAAATTTGCATCATATTATATACTTTATGAAATTATATGATAATTATAACTATTATAGAGTTACTTATTTTTATTTCTATTTCGCAAAATTTGGCATATTTTTGTTTTTTGATATTATTACTGCAATTCAATTCTCCCTACTTAATTAATTTTATATAACGATTATTTCTGCAGGTAATATAAATAATTCCACATGCATCAAAATTGCGTACAGTGATAATTGAACGATTATACATACGTGTTTCGTTTTATGCAACTTATATATTTTCATTGCGTCGTGCAACACATTTCGTACATGATTTTTGCATGAACCCTTTCGTATTAGGCATCCCTTAAATAATTAAGCAATATTCTAGGCGTATTTTTAAAATATTTAATATTCTAAGAATACACCTAGAATATTAAATAATATCATGCGCTTATAGGGATTATATACATTACATACATTCGAATTAAATATTTCTTTTCGCCATTTTCGTCAAACGATGTGTTGCGCGCGGAGAAAAAAAAGTATGAAATCACGCATTTCGCGTAGAATCGCGCCAATCGATTCGAAAAGAGCAATCGACTGCATTCGGGCAATTTTCCGGGCGTTCACAGCGCGAAAATCGCTGGGCGTGCACGTCACAAAGCGCAAAATGTATAGGAGAGCGTGCTGTCATGGAACAGCACTGACGAAATAAGCGGACAGGTGCGGACGACTGGCCGATAACCCGATGACCCAGATACCTTCCCGATGATATTGATTAACCATCGAATGTCTGTGCACAACCGCAAACGTCAAACGCGTCGGCACCTCGTACATCTTCCCCTCCCCCTTCTGCACCCCTTTCCCGACCATCGTTCGACCCTTTGTCCTTTGCTCTCTGCTATTACTTGATCTTGTATCTTTCGTACTTACCCCCTTTTATCAGGGCTGCCTGGTACGTACGATGTCCTCACCCCTGCTCGACGAAATTGGATTTATGCTTCTATTTTCTTCCTTTGCGGGAACACAACTTCGACAGATTGCACACCGAAAAAGCACCGCTCCGTTATTACGGCGAAATAATGGACTCCACGATTGCGTCACGTCGTCACCGAGAAACCTTAACACATACACAATATTTTGTAATTAATATTCTGATATCTATGTTTTTTTTATTGAAAAATATGTTTGTTATGATGTTTTTGCTATTAAAATTTTAATGTTTTATCTTTCAAAGTAACGTCTTTAAAATGTTACATATTGATGATCAATTCAATCTCGTTCTCTCTGCAGATTTGTGATATCGCAATAAAAAAACAAGTTTCGATTACAGAACACAGATCTACATTACAATATCTCGATCATTTTCTGAAAAAGCTTGCAATTTTCGACGAAAGAAATATCATTGCGCGCCTATAATATATACCATACTTAACCATTAATATCATATCAACATTGACGCGTACATTTACCGTGTTTTCGCGCAGTTTTCCTTTTCTTTCGCTTCTTCCTCCAATTGTACACAATGCCTATTTCATGTTAATCGCATCAAGTGCAAAAGGTGATGAGAATAGATGTTCTAAACAATGATATAAATGCAAAATTTACCCTTGGCGCTCCACACCCTTCGCCTTCGATGTACAAGTACAAATTGGCGCGACCGGTACGATACACGAACCGAGGCGGAAAGAGCCGAGCGCGACCGACCGATGACGGTGACGTATGGCGGCAAGGTCAGATTGTTACGCGCGCTTTCTTTACCTGTTGCGTTCGACAACACGCGCGTGTACGATTATTTTGATCCGCTCGGAGAAACGCAAAAGTGACAATTTAACGCGAGCTGTTACACATTGCGTGCACGCGTAAGTGTTTCACGGCAGAGTGTAAATTTTGCTTGTGCAAAGTGTAAAGTGCTTATTTTACCCGTACTTTGTCACTCTCTCGTGTGTGCGTGCATAATATAACCTAAAATTTAACGGAGTAAAGTTGACGCCGGCGCAAAATATCATAATTACGAAATGTAAAGCGGTACTGATTGCATAGTCGTCTCTGATATTATTGTCGTCGCTGAATCGTCTCTTTGCAGTGAGTATTGTCAGAAGAGAAGTTATTTATTTAAGTATCTATTGTAAGACTTCATTAATAGTAATGTTTTCTGTCAAGGGAAATCATATTATACAGTTAAATATTTAAGAATTGATGAATGACAATTTTTATGTATTTGTATTTGCAATTTTATGATGCATATTATTTAAGAAAATTAAGATAAATAAAAATTTTATTTTGTATATTTATTGGATTTTTATATTACTTTTGCAGATATAATGATGAATAATGCACATTGTTACTCACTGTAATAATTGTGCATATGAGGACCATCAATAGTTTGGAATACATATTTTATTGAAGATTGTGCAATATTTATTATTGAAAGATGGCAGATTTTCTTTCCGCTGAGCTTACAGCTACTTGTGCTGTGCTTGGATATTTTGATGGAACTGATTATCATTTAGATAAACATTGTTTAGGTAAATATATTTATCTTATATATTTTTTTAAAGTAATATATAATTGAGAAAAAATATAAAATTAAGTATAATTATTTTATTATTACAGATGTTATAAAAGATCTTATCAGATATCTTAGAAGAGATGATGATGCACATACTATAAGATGCTTTCTTGGTCGTACAAAATTACTTCAAACAGATCTTGTAAAGATTCTTATACATCATGTTAAGAATACTGAGTTATGGGATGTTCTATTACGGTATGTATTAATTATAATTATCAGCTGAGACACACATTGTGCATGAAAAAGATTATACGATTCTTATTCTGTAGCCATAACTAAATTTTATTTTTTTTTACATAACAGATTACTTATTAATTTAACAAGTTCTGCATTTGTAATTTTTAATGAACAAATTCCAACTGAGAAAACTATGTACAGTTTGTACCAACAAATAAATTCACATTTACAAGGCTACAAGGCAGCATTAACTGATGACAATGTTTGGATAACAGTAGGTGGACGTTTGGAAAAATTGCTTAATATTGTAAGTAATGAAAAAATTATGTCTTTATAATTTTATGTCTTCTGATCAGTGTATGTGTATGTATATATATATATATATATATATATATATATATATATATGTGTGCACACAAGCGCAGACTATAGAATAATTCTTATTTCAGGATAGTACAGAAAGAGAGGAGGAAAATGAATTAACAATTGAAAGAATACTTCTTTTTATGAGAAATGTATTGCAAGTACCACCTAATGATAATGATAAAAGAGGTGATAATGACGCTACTGTTCACGACGAGGTGCGAATTATTATATGAAAATCTTCTACATTGTTTTTGCAATATATACAATATATTGAATATTATTTCAAACGACAATATAGAATTTTCTTTTTGTAGATATTGTTTGCATTGCACGCATCAGGTATAGTGGATATACTGTTGTTTATTATCAGCAATAATAAGGAGCAGCATTATCACATGCAAATTTTAGAGGTATATAAAAATTACGCTTTTATTATTTTTATATTTGAAAATAATTATGTTCTAATAATATTGTGAGAATAATATGTATGTTATTTGGAACAATTTATTATTCATAAATAAACGGTATTTTAATTTTTTTAGATTATATCTTTGATGTTACGTGAGCAAAGTGCAAATCAATTGGCTGCATCTGGTTTGCAACGTAGTACTGCTGAAAAAGAAAATGATGAGGCTAAACTTGTAGATTTACGAAAAAAGGAATTGAACGAAAAGATGGACAAAATTAAAAAATATGCCGGATCTAGGTGAGTTTATAATATATATCACATTTACTATTATATCAATTGATTAACGAAATTATTAATACAATTTAATAAGATTAATAAATCTAAAACACCATGATAAATACATCATATAGTTATGTTATGCAAATTAAAAAGGAAAAAACCATTATTACATTTAAATTAATTTTAAATAAATAAAATTACCTAAGGGTAAATTATCTAAAGGGACAGAGGATATCGAGCAGCCTTTTTGTAAATAACATAATCGTTTAAAATAAATGTACTAAAAATAGAGAATTTACATTTTCTTTGAAAATATTCATTCGGATTCACTCAATTTCAAAACTAAAACAACTTGTGAATGTCTGTTCTATTCATAGGATATTTTATTCGATATTCAGTACACGGAAAATGCCTATAGCAACGTCTAAGTACTTCATTCATACAAGTTTATTCATGTACGTTAGCCGTATTATTCGGTTTTATGAAACACGGAAGAATGCATTTTCACGAATAGCTACCGCATAATTATCGTTTTAATGAGCGGCTACAGCTAAAAGCTCGCGATCGTAAAAATGGGATGACTACTGAAAGGCGCCGATTACTACTTGACGGATGCCTTTAGGGATTTTCGCGACTGCGCAGCGATATGATATGCGTATAATGAATATGACCTAGTTTTTAAAACAGGACCACCCGAAGCATGAATAGAAGCTTTTATCCACTTGTTGGAGAGAAGCGAGCCATATTCTTGTAACGAGCGCGCGTTTCAGAAACCCCTGGATGCGCGCATCCTACCCGTCTTTGCGAAAGGCTTTTTACGACTTGAAAGGGACTGGCAGTGCGATGAAAAGATCCCTCCGCCTTCCTCGTGTTTCCTATCGATCGATGGAAAGATAATTTGATCGGAAAACGATAAAGCAGCGCCTAGCTGTGTCACGAACACAGATCTTCTTTTGATAGCAACAAGTAAATATAGTAACGAAATTGGATGACTGTCGTATATGCATTTATCGTAATACATATATATATATATATATATATATATATATATATATAACATAATTTTAGCTTTTAAATTATTTTCTGCATTATTTTTTATTTAATGTCTTATTTTATATATACAATATATATAACAAAATAAAATTTTCTTTACAAATGAGTAAAATAAAATAATTTTTTTTACATTGTGTATTTTAGATAATAATTATTATATTTCTAATTTATTATTTCTCTTACATAAGAAAACTTATATTTTTATAAAAATTTTATTATTTGAAAAAATTCTTTAGAAAATTATAACTCTTTTAAATAGAGATCAAAGAAGTTGATAATATAAATTTTAAATTATCAAGTATTTAAATTTTTTCGTGACGGAATACTCGCTTTTTAACAAACTTTTCGGAAAGTTAACCGTCTGTTTAAAAATATTTGAAGGAAGGTGATGGGACCGAGCAAAAAAGCAAAAAAAGATAGATAGGGAATGCGCGTCTTCGTCATTTAGGAAAGTATCTGCTCTTGACAGCTGCCTTTTATTCCATTGATTGGATTTTCGGGAGTCATGGTTGAAATTGAATTTGAATGATCCCTACTCCTTTTTTTAGTAGCATTAGAAGAACTATATTATTTTCGCTTTCCAATTTGTCCCTATGTAAAAGTCGAAAGAGGGTAAGACAAGACGAAATCAAGACAAATTTTATTTTTGCTTGAAATGTACATATGCGCGCGTTTTTCCAATATTTTATCCAGTATATTCTAAGATGTTATATTTATATTAAAAAAAAAATACTTTCGTTCCAAATGTAGATTTTTAATCTTTAAATTAATTATGTTCTTTTATAATTATAGACATTCACGATTTGGCGGTACTTACATTGTGCAGAATATGAAAGCAATCGGAGAAAATCAAATGATATGCCACAAACCGTATCAAAAAATTGAAACTCTGGAATTTGGTCACAATAAGGTAAATAATAATATTGCTAATCAATTAATAATGCATGATCTTTCTCGCCTTATGATTTCCAAAAACATCCAAGTTTAAATAATTTTAATCTATGAATTATAAGAAGGAAAATCAATAAATAAATATATGTTTCTTTTTTTACAGAAAAGAGTGAAGCAACGCAAAGATAAAGTGAGCATACAGGACGCTAAAGTAGAACGTACATCTGTTCTCAGTGTGCGACTTTTCCTAAAAGAATTTTGCGTGGAGTTTCTTAGTGGAGCATACAATCCCGTAATGAAATTCGCTAGATCTTGCATTATCAACGTAACTCACGGCGAAGCACCCGAGACCACTTCCTATCTGTGGGCTTTGCGTTTTTTTATGGAATTCAATCGCCACTACAAGTTCGAAGTGAAATATGTGAGGTAAACCTTGGCACTTTTCAACTTTCTTATAACAAAATTCATATTGTTGCCGAATGCATATCCCGCTAAAAAGGCAGAAAGCGAGACAGTTTCCAAACTCGTTTTACGCATCGTCGCTTTCTTTTGGATCTTATCTAGAGAAAAGTCTAAAGAATTTCTTTAACATCTGGTTGTACAGGATGAATTTAAATCTAATTTTAGCAGAATGATAATTTTTTACAATTTTAAATGAAAGTTATTAAATTATTAATATAAAGTTTTCCACAATATATTAATATACACCTGATCTTATAAACATGCAATTATTTTCTTTTATATTAAAATACATAAATTATACGAGATGATAGTGAAAGTTATTTTATATTTTCACATTTCTCGTTTAAATAATATATATTACATTTGAATTGTTTTTACTATTCGAATTTTATTTACAATTTATTATTTGTAGAATGCATATGTTTTTGTATTTCTATTTGACCAGATTTTAGTGATATAGTGTGTGATTCGTATTGATTCTTTTTGCAAGCATGTAAAAAGGATTGCTCTAATTTTATTAATGTTTTTATAATAGTTTTTATATAAATTGATTTAAGCTATATACTCTATTTTATATTATTAATACTATTACTTGTAATTCTTTTTTTTTCTTTTATTACTTATTGATTCATTGATTTATGAATTTTAGCGAAACCATATCCACAGAAGTATTTTATTTAGTACAAAGGCAAATGGAACATTACTACGAGATGATGATAACCGATAAGAAAAGGATATCACTTTGGTCTCGTAGATTGCATTTAGCATTAAAAGCATATCAGGTAGGAAATTGTAAAAATGAAGGATAATGAGCTTAGTGGCATGCTGAATATCTAGAGAAATTGGCGAAAATATATTTCACATTTTAGGAGCTTCTTAATACTCTTATGGCAATGGATAAGAGTACAGATCACGGTGTCAGGGAATCCAGTAAAATTATTAAAAGCAACATCTTTTACGTTTCGGAATATCGGGAAACGATATTCTCTCAGCTTTTGTGCTTTGACGAGACTAAAATGTCACGGTAAGTGAATAGAATCTCACTCGGGAAATTTTGAAAGAGAGAATATCTAACAAAAGTTATCTTGAAAAAATAGGAAAAATAAAAATCAAATCGAATATCCCGTTTTTTTTATTTTTTATTTTTTAATCGGCATTCATTCGCCGTTTATTTCGGTAGAATAAACCGCGAATCTGTCGCGATTTTTTTCAGCACGCCGTAATAAAAGTAATGCGAGATATCGCGAAAAGTTACGCGACGCGTCACCGAACAATCGCGTCTGTACCGAGCGAATCCGCATCGCGTCTCACGCGAAGAGAGAAAGAGAAAGAACTCTTTACCGAAAGTTTTATCTACCGCAGACAGATTGATTCACTTTCGGATCAATCGGTTCGACCAGCCAGGAAGCCACTCCGGTTCCCTCCGACGCCATTTCGACTATTTCTCTTCTTCGGCCGGGTCTCTCTTCGCTAGCTTCTCTCGTACACACCCCCGCCTCATTTCTTCATCCCTTCTGCGCGATTCCTTGGCGGAATAAACAACTTTTATCGACCTTCCGGCCGGCGAAATGGGAAAAGGCGGTGGGCGTTCAACTTGCTACGAGTTTGACGGGTTTTGCGCGGATTTCCACGACGGAAATGTAAGGGCGGCGCGACGTACCGCAATGGCACGTTGCTGCTACTTTGATGTTATACGCTGACGAAAACAGGACGACGTCAAACTTTGGTTTTCGTAGTAGTAGCGTTGCCGGAACTAAATTGACAAATTAATGCACGAGTAACGAGATTGAATTAATTTCTTGTCACAAGGAGGAAAAGCGCGATTTTAAGTACAACGTCATTATTGTGCTTATAATACACATTTATATACACATAGCATTAAATAACGTGATTATATTATATAAATATACTTACTTGCTTTTCAGGCAATATTTAGTGGATCTTGTAACGACTGCTCACATATTTATGAAAATGCTTGAACACTTCTGCCAGAAAGGTCAACGACGTCTCGTAATTCAAGAAATGAAAGTAAAGCGAATGAAGGCTAAAAAGAAACAAAAAAGTAAGATTTATTTATATAATGATTGTTGTGAAATATTTAAAATTATATAAATTAAAGTTGATATGTAAAAAATTGATTTAAGCAGATCCCGTTCATCAGGACACTGTAACTCCGTCTCTTACTTTGGAAGAACGTTGGGACATTATTGCTCCTGAATTATCTGCTGTAATGCGAGATGCCGTCATACCAGAAATGATACCGTTTGACGCAACCTTAGACACGCCGATTGACGATCAGAAGTACGTATTAGCTTTATATAACAGAATCAACTGAAATAATATTTATATCATGGATTTTTTTCGAATGCAATTGAAACTATGTTTTATGTTTCTGTTTTGATTCATAGATCGGACGCCATGAAGAAGATACAGAAATTAATGCGACAGAGGAACTTGGACAAAGCGGTTGGTCTCCTACGTGCAGCAAGGTAAGATTTTTATTTGTAAAAAAAAGAGAGATTGTCGGAAAATAAACTCGTTATGAAACTTTGCATGCCGAAGCGATGACAATGTCGCTTATTGTTGTTTATTTTGAGAATCAGTTTTACACATAAATCGTCATTGTATTGTTGAATGCAACGCAATGCAACAAGCACTTCTAGCTTTTTTGCTATTTTATTGAAATGAAGTATACGTGAAATTATTTGGACGCTTGTACTGTAAAAATTACGTGTAATTTCTCGCTTGTAACATTATAATTTAATACACCGCGGTGCAATATATAAATTTTTATGGAAATTTTATTGATTCTGTCACGATAAAAGATGTCTTTATGCAGTGTGCTTTTATATAGTGACCTGTGTTTTTCATTTTTCAGTATTTAATTTATATTATTTTTCATAATTAATATAAAAGAGACTTTTATTTTTTTATTCTTTTACATATTTATCGCGATATTTTATAGCGGAATATAATTTATTTTCCGACGATCATGACATAATCTCTCAAGGTAAATACAACATTAATTATGAGAATTTTGAGAACTTTATTTTAATAAATAAACACATAAATCTTAGGGTATAATAGCTGATAAGAACTGAAATTTATTCATAAGCTCGAATTTTTAATAGTTTGAGCTATAAAGTAAATATAATACATGCAAATTATATAATCTTACGAGATATTAATGCAGATAGTTTTAATCATTTAATAAAAAGTATAACATTCTCTCACGTATACCACGTTATATATAAAATAAGCTTCGTAACTCGATTATTCTTATTATTTCCACTTAAAAAATTAAAGCTGAGCTTTGTTCGGAAACTTTGATAAAGGGAAATCTAATGAAGAACTTTGTATAATTAGCCTGCAACTTTGATTAGGGATTATTTCACTCTACGATTCTAATAATGTATATTAATTATACTTATCGATCTGTTGGAAATTTTTTCGGTTTCGTGCACCGACCAGTCATACGGCCAATTAACTGGCGAAAAGCCAGGCGTTTGCACTGCGGCGGATATTTACATTACATTAAATCTGAAAGGGATCTACCGCGCTCTCTTGTAACGCGCGTCGGTATACACCGGTTCACCGAGGTGAACCGGTACCCAACCAACTCTTTGAAGTGTTCCACCTCTAAATGTGCCTATGAGTCATGTCCCTCCGTCAACTTGTTTCTGCGTTCCACCTCGTCAAACCTTCTCGCTCTAAGGCTTAATCGCCGCTTCGATGCTTCCGCGAGATTCGATACACCCTCGTTGATAAACTCGTCGACGTGTAAATAGATTTCTCTTTACGTCTCTTCGTCTCAAAGCTTTACGCTAAACGCAGACGCGCGTGCATCGCGAAGGATTCAAGCTCTATTTTTTTTATTTTTTTTTTTATTTTGTATAAAAGATGATTTGCAAATGTCGTTGAGAAAACTACATTTATAAAATGAGAGTTTGGCAAACTCGGTGACATTTCAAAATAACACCGTCGTTGCGCTATAAAATATAATTTCGAGTGAAAACACACGATACGTAAAATACGTTCTACTATTAATCTTCAACTTTATTAGTTCTGTCAGATTAGAGTGCCGTGATATAACCGCGAGGATAGAAGTCGTTTTTATCGTCGCTGCCTCCTTCTATCATAAAGCTATGAAATTATAGTCCTTTCCGAGATTTTTCTTTACGCGGTATCGTCGCTGCGAACTACTTTGGGAGATTGTACGTAATATTCCATCGTCCATTTTACGGTGGGGAGTAATGTTTACTATGGCCGATATACAATGGGAGTCTGCAGGATCATGCCGACCTTGTGCACACAAAGGGATAAAAGTAGCAGACTGTTGACTGTGCCATATAATATAGACTACGTCTGGGCCTAGACAATATTATGAATAAGACATTTACGGTAATACGTAGGTATACGTAAGACAAACAGTATAATATCCCTTATTCTCTTCGCGTACACGTCTTGGTCTCTCGGTTACGGATAGTGCTTCTGGTAATCGTGTTTCGTTTGCCTAGCAAATATTCTACCGTCTGGCTACTGATTTTAACCCTCTAATTTTCCACTTATACCGTCTGCACTTATATCTCTCACGCAGTGATTTTAATTTTCAAGGATTGCGCAATTCAAAGAAATGCAGAAAGTGATTACGACGAGAAAAATTGCGTCGATTTATCATTTCTGTCTCTTCGTTTCTTGTATATGAATAATGATGTGCAGCAATGATTTTATCGCTCGCGAAGAGAAATCGAGAGCTTTTCTCTTGCCTTTCTATTTATATTCTGAAATATCGATTCGGTCATTAATATATAGAAGCAGATTTTCAGATTTATCACAGGAATGCTGAAAATATACAGATTGTTTCTAGGATAATACATTACATATTTTAAATGTGCTAGATTATATAGAAGAAGGGTAGAGAAAATGAAAATATTTGCAAGTTTTAAAGGAAATTGCTAGCGGTGCGACGTAGATTTTTATATAAAGACCTTTTTTTGTGACAATTTAATATTTAAAATCGCTAAGGCTGATTTATCACTTTGCCAAGCATGAGAATGAATGTGTCGAAATTATCTATTTCGCGTCTGGCAAAGCGGTATCGGCTTGTATGTCGGAACGTTGAGTCGAGAAACGACGACGACGACGACGACGACGACGGGCACTGCGCGTCTGGGAGATTCCATTGTCACGGAACTTCAAATCGGGGGATAATGGGAATTGTATGCTGCTGAATTTCTATTCAGGCAGCCAGCAGCCGCGCCATACGAGCCACTTCTTCCGCTCGGGGGACAGCACCCTTCCTCTTCTTTTGCGTTTTCTCCCTCGCGTTTGCTTATTAGATTCATCTCTAGCGGGAAAAATTTCGGAAAGCTTTCCAAGGTGAATTTAGACTTCCTTGACCTGCAATTCTGAAATGCGCTATAAGACGTATTTGTCGAGACTAAAAAATGATAAAGCGACATATTTCTTAAGTAGAATCTCGAGAACAGACATTTTATTACAAGCTTGAGCTTTGATGATGCAAGTCGATAAACTATCGAGAAATTATTTTTTAATTTTCAATAAATATCGCTTGAACAAAAAGTTCGTAAAGTTCAGTTTTTGTTTTGTGATATATTTTTTAGTATTGCAATAATAAATTAAATCATGTCTTTGCTCGATATTCTTTCGGATATTCTATCTAACGATTTTTGCCTTAGATTAAAAAGAGAAATTCGTTTCTAACGGGGGAAAAACTCGTTTTATATACGGTAGTTGCGATATATGGATTACGTCTCTGCTCGTGTGTAAACGGGGACGGATCATGTCCGGACTTGAATCCGATGGGAATCGTATATTGTAAAATGTACGAATGTGTGTCGCATGTATACGCATAAAACGAAACACATTGCACATGCATACGCACGTGTCTGCGTTAGAACCGTCCATACCTTTCGCTTTTATATAGCAGAATTGCAACTAAGTGCGATTTCGTGTCAAGTGACCAAATCCAATTCTCGGATTTTAATGCGACTTCGACGCTATTAGGATGGCATAAAGTAGGAATGATTTTCATTACCAATCGTACGGCGACAATGAAATGAGGTAGAAAACATTTTCGTCGTCATTGTTGTTTTTACGATCCAAAGACTGCGATTATGTCGTAAAAGTATTGATGGAAACATCCATCATCATTATATTTTATTTCTTTGTTGTATGTTAATATTTCTCCCGCTATTTCTCTTTGGCTTTTGAATTAATTAGTATTAATTGATATAGTTACCATATATGCTCTCACTTGTAAAATTAACATTTTTTGTTTTATGATAGTTTTTTGTAGTTGCAATAAGTTTTTGTATTTTACTAGAAGTAAAGCTTATTTTTTATATAAAATATAACTAGAATTTTTTCTATATATATATATATATATATATATATATATACATAAATATGAATTCATATACAATTTCATATTTCATATATATATATATATATATATATATATATATATATATGAAATATGAATTTATTGTATATGAATTGAAACATTTATTTAAAAATGGAATAAATTGAATAAAAATCAGTTTTACGATTTATAAAAAAATTTAATAATACACAGATATCTCAACAATACATATTTGAACATATTAAAAATCTATGTTTAAATTTTTTATTGAATTTAAAGTTTTCAAAAAATGGCTCTTAATTATTTAAACGAATGATATGTGTATAAATAAAATATAACACTATAATCCATATACAATATTTATTTTACAAATGGATTTAAAACTAGATGACAATGCAAAGTTTTTCCTTTTTGCGAAAATATATAATTAAAAACTCTGGTAGATTTTTCAGCAAAAATTCAAGGAGGATGAAGTATTTTGTTATGTAATATAAGATTAAAAATGTTTCATCATTAACTATCATCCTTTTTTGGAATGTTTCTGCAGACGTGACTTCACTCTTATCCTTTAGTTACGTTCACGCATCTGTTGTTGTTTTTTTAAGTTCTTATAAAATATATGGAGTTTCAGACTTGTTAAATCAGTTTTTATCTATCCTAAATGTAACTTTTCTGTAGTAAAAATGTAAAAACATTTTTAAAAATATTTTAGAAAAAAAATATATATGACCAATTATTAAAAATTTTAACAGGGAGGGAGATAATTGTAATTATCACAAAATTAATTTTTCTTGTTTTGAAATATAAGTTCATGTATGATTAAATTTTTCAGATAACTTAATTATTGAGTTTGAGAGAAATTTTTTTTCTCAAGCATATATCATGTTAAATTTTAAAAATTGAATGTAAATTTAAATAGATCGAAGCTGCTCTTATCTTTGAAAATTTTACAACTTTCACTTGCTTGCTCTTCTCTTTTGTGCGATAGTGGCGGTTATATTTTTCGCCTCGCAACCCTAAGATATGCAGGTACTTTGTGTAGGAGATACATGTGTGTTGGCGTCAATGATAGACTAGCGTAGGTCAACTAAGGGTCGACGAAGAATGAAGGTTGGGTGTGAGCTTTTGACGCAAGTAGCTCGATGTTGGTGTAGATCGTGGTGAGGTTTTCATGCTCAAAGGAACCTTCTATGAGACCGTTGAGTTTGCCACTCGAATTTCTCATCGCGCTCCTCGGCAACACTCGAATGAATCTTCTTAATTGTGTAACTCGGAATAATCAACTTGTTTTATTTAGTTGTATCGGTCTTGTTAAAAACGCACAAACCAATTATTCGTTGCATCATTTATGGGATTAGATAAGTAACTCTGGCGCATTCTGGAAAGAATAATGGAAATTGTAACTTAAAGAATTTTTAAGAAATGAAAGAATTTTGCTTAATTTTATCAGTTCTTGAAATTTTATTTTCTAAAAATTGTTTTTTTAGTTTTTTTAGCGTGATAGTTCTTTCGAAAATGCGATATAATTGATATTATAAAATGCTCAATATTTTATTTTCATAAAATGCACACTAAGAGAGAAATTATATAAATAATATAATATCCAATGTATGATGTATTATAATTCATAACTTTATGTAATATGAAAGCTTTGCAATTTTGAATTATGTATAAGGGAATATTATATTACTGTGTATATTACAGTACATTAAAAGCTGCTTCCTTTTAAGATCGTAACATTATCATGCTATTAAGCTCCTGTTATCATATTTTATTTTAGTATTAATGTTACTATTATACATTAGAGAAGCTAAATATAAATATTTAAATAAAATTGTTACAGAGAGATCTGGACTGAGAACGACTGCTTTGGACGAGCGGATATACCTCCTGAGGAAGAATTTCTAGCTCTTCGAGAAATTTTCTTCGCAGATCTGGGCGGTGAGTGACTTTTCTTTTTTTATTTTATATTTCGGATATAAAAAATAGCTTGACGCGCTTTTCTCTCAGAGCTGCTTTTATAATACAATTATTTTAATGAAATCCGTGGTAATACGCGAACTTAATCGAATGGAAAACGAAATATCGTATATTGACAATCTCCGGTAACTCGTCTGAAATCAAGTTAAAACTTTGTGCTTTCAAAGCATAGGTCGTTAACATTTTTTGCTCTCCTGAGGATTGCCAGTGCAACTTTAGGTCTATCGCGAGAAATTTATATCTTCCTCTTTGCATACGTGAGAAAAGGGAGTAGTTTCTGTTTTGCGTCCTGCCTAATTATAAAGAGGAAAGTCCGTTATTAGATTAAAGCACGAAAGTAATGAGCTGTTTTCTTTCCTTTACGGAGGGGAGTTTGTTACATCTGCTAATTTATTGAATTATGAAGTTTGACGCAAAAACATTTGGTAGAAAAGCGAGTGCGGTATCCGAACATATATACAAGCTATAATAATATCATATATTTTATGATGATAAGAAAGTATCACAAGGGGAAAGAAAGATGTGTATAAATATATGAATTCATTCAAGGTGTTCTTCCCTTGCAGGGACGATTTGTAATAACTGGCGCGTATATCACGACGCAAATTTAATTAAACGCGCCGTTGGTATTCATTTCACGCGTCTAATTTATGTGTGAATAACTACGCTATTCAGTGCCGAGATTTCGCGACGATCCGGGTCCGCCACGTATTTATCTCTGTTTATTACCAACACAATAATAGCTGCTGTAGACGTTTTAAATCCTTTAATTTTTTGTTCTGCTTCTACAAATAGAAGCAGTTTATTTTAATGAAAAAAATTATTGTGCTTGTGTTTTTTTTCCACGGTAAAATTTCTCTTTTATTAGTACACATAAAATTTATATGTAAAATTTTTACCATTTTATTCTACAGAAATATTATATACATATTGAGATAAAGCACAACAAATTGATTTTTATAATAACAATTGATTCTTTTAGAAAAAAGTAATTTAAGTTTATTATTTTATTTTATTACTTTTTTAATTATACATAGAAGTTTTTAAAATTTTCAATATTTTCAATATTTAATTTTGCATAAAATTGGTATTTTCTAAATTATTTAATTTAACTTCAACCTGCATATAATTATCGATTAGACGTCTTTTTTTCTCTTTATCCATTGCAGATATACAATATTAGTAACGTCTCATTACAGAATTATCGAGTGCGCGTTTAATTTCCTTTCGTCGTATCCCGCAACGAATGCCAAAATAATAAAGAACGTTTGGAATGGCATGGATTACAATCCATGTTGCACTGAATTTCATAACTTATAACATGACAGGCACTGTCATGTATTTCTCTATATAGACCATTATATAAATATGATGACAGCGGTGACAGTTATGCTGTCATGAAGTTGTCATGTAATATTCACCCAGAGAGGATATTTTGTATAAAATATCCGTTCTGAAATATCTAGACTATTTTATTTCACGATATATAAGTAATCCATTATCTGAAGCATCCATTATCTCTATTACTCGCAATCTTTACACGTTATGAATCTTCTTCTTTTTCCCCCGAAACGAAAGATTCACAAGAAAAATAAAATCTTTTACTTCGTGTTTACTGTTAAGTCTAATCTAGTTGACTGACTTGTGCAATTTGAAAATTACTCATATGGATATTTAATGTTAACAAAAATTCACAATTACACGTGTGAAGATTATTCTTGAAATCACATGTATATAAAATTACGTTACAAAAATATCAATTTTAACATTGAAGAACTCATGCAGGCAAAATATAGCTTGCTAAGGTAAGGCTCTTCTGAAACGGTCTATATTTTTATTTAGATTACTTGTATCATATGCAAAAATATCTTTATCATGTAATATTATAGTAATTTAGTGTTTATACATACATTAGTATAACCACGACGACACACAGATTCAAGGTAAGTTATGAAAGGAATCATTTGCATAGACACGTTTACATATTTTGGTACCTATATGGCGCAGGGTGTGTGTGTGGATTTTGTCGGAGTGAAACGGAATCGCAATCGATCCGAAACGTGCATTGGCTTCGTCGATTGAAGTTGTTTTTCCGTTTCAGCTGCTTCCGCACACACTTTACGCGTCTGGATGGCTGTACTTTGCGACTCGATCGTATCCCGATGCTTTTGCACACGGTGTATATAATAGAGTATCTGTTTCGCGTTGATAAAGCGCATCGCGGAAATTGGTGGCTGCGAGACAAGCTTTTTCTAATTCACACTTTGTTTATATATCGAGAAATTCGAGAAATATTTAAATTTTATTAGCATTATAACTCTGCCGTTTCAATTGAACAATTGAAAACGAATGAACAAAAGAGAAACTTGTATGAATGATCTGTTACTATGAAATATAATTTCTTGTTTTTAAATGTCAATATTAGACTAACGATTGCAATCGTGCTTCTAGTATCGTCACATTTTGAGTTAACAACTTGGACAATTGGATATTCTTCAAATAAACTGCACTTCTTGAACTTGTTAACAATTTCTGTAGAAAATAACTTGGACAACTTCGTAGATTGGGGTCTAGAGAGGTCAGATTGTGTGTGTACGTGAGAGAGAGAGAGAGAGAGGGCAACACAAACGATTATTTGTCATCCGCGACAGGGATACTTCATCAACAGCATTTATAAATAATCGCGATCGATCGAGGAAGTTGCCTAGCATACCGAAAGGCTTTACTTATTCACGCGAGTGGAACGATACTGTGTTGCCATGTATAAAGTATACGTTTCATCGACTTACTCGGACTGAAGTATGAGAATAGGATGTAGAGGAAGATGTGTGCTGTAGTTGGGCGCGATTTTTCTTTTCTCGCTCGATTCCAACTTGTTAGACCGAATGGGTGATGGATGCTAGCGAGCAGTCAGCCCATGTATTCTTTTCTCCTCCAAGTCGAAGGTTTGATGAATCGAGGCCGAATTGAAAAGTCTTGGAACGCAGTGACGAAATTTGCATGCTACCGTCGCACGACCGATCCCTTCTTTATGTCTACCCCAGTTGTATACGTTTGGTTAACTAACGCATTTTACGCTAGTAAGCTTCTCTTCGAGCTTTTCTTGTATTTATGTCTATGATTCTTCAATATTATAAAGAGGAAAATTAAGTAATAAAGGTAAAATTAACTTCAAATATAACAATATTTTATAAGTTGATTTGATCTTTATTACGATAATTTTATTTTTATAATTAAAGAATCGTAGGTATATTTATATGTAAATTAAAAACTCTAATATAATAACTACTATTAATCTCTTCATGAGAGAGAAAGAAGAAATGAATTTCATTGCAAAATTTGTTTACTCTTGCAAGACTGTAGCACTATGATATGCTCGTGATTTTTTGAATTTTACAAGCGATGATTTTTCATCGTTCCTCGTCATTAAATTTGTATACTATACTGCAATAATTTTGCTTATTTACCGTAATACGGAAGAAAGTCATCTCTGCATTTCCTAGGAAAGTACCATGTACCTAAAATACGTAGATTGGCGGCGCCGGATCCCCGACTATATGTCGAGGAAGTAGAGAAGTGGCTTCGAGAGGTATGAAAGAACTTTTATCAAGGTGAAAACTTCGTCTTCCTTTCGAGCAGCGTGAAACCATAGAAACGAACGAGAATTATTTAGTACAAGACGCAGGGTAAACAACAGATCTACTACCAACATTTGTTCCTAGTTCTACTCCTTTTTTGCGCAACTCTTCTAAAACGACTCTCCGACGATCTCTCTTCTCTTACAAGTAGAAATTTTATCGGAAAATATACATTATTCGCAATCAGCTTATACTTTGCGCTGCTTATCGATTGGAATTGAAGTTAATGCGCAATAGCGGGGATTGACGTTTAGAGTGCAAATCCTATAACCTTTATATAACTGAATCCTTTACAGAGGCACTAAATTCGATCGAGTATATATTTTTCTATTTGTTTGCTTTTTTCGTACTAAGTATATTTTCGCGTTATGGTTATTCTTTTTTTATATCTCTCGCCATGGCAACGCAAGGGAACAATAATCAGATCGAATCGACGTTTCGAGAGATTTGAAGCAACGCGAGAGCTGATATTTACATCTTACGTTTACTCGAGCGATCGCTACCATACGTTTGTGCATTCTCGTAACGTCCTTCCTCTTTCCAGGACATCGGTCCGTAAGGTAGTTCGGCCGAAAATCGGCATGCCACGTCCGCTTTTCTCCGATCAAATCATTGCGATGCATTGTGATACCTAGTGCGACTTCGAAGCAAGCCAATGTCTATAGTTGGTTGATTTTATATACACGATTTTATTTTCTCTAATATATATTTCGTAAAATCGTCGATGCATTTTTAAAGTCAGTGCATCCATTTTGTTTTAATTCGTTTAATTTCTCTCTTGGAAGAAAAGTAATTTTTGGAGAAAACTTCTCTTATCCAATAATGCATTCTCGAAATATTTTAAAAACTCGTGATTTTTTTCGAATATAATCTTGTTGTTAATCGTAACAGAAATGTTACGATTAGTGTATTAATTATTTATATAAAAAGGATTACCTACTATTTATTCACGTCTCTTTGCCTTTTATGTACGGTATAAATGAATGTCGGGAGATAAATGTTTCATACGAATTTAAGAATTCTTCAAACGACTTTCTTCCGTGAAGAGATTTAAACGTCTGTACTCGAGTAACACCCAAGTATTGAGTGGAGCGTTCAGAGGGTACTTCAACCCGACATTTAACGGCGTTCCGGTATCGAGGAGACAACCGCGGCGCGTTAATGTTTCTTTTTTGCCATGTTCTCTCCCTCCTGCCGACGATATGATAGCCTCTTCCCTAACGACGCATAACCATTAATATGCAAAAGCGGTACTCGACGAGTTCATTCATTTCATCATGCTTTCCCCTATCGCTCGTTCTTCCTCCATCCCGTTTCTTCATT